GGGGTTGTTAGTCCAGCAGTTCATTTAAAAAAAAAGGCACTTATACTGAAAAAGACATAGATGTAATAATAAAATAAGGTACGACCTTAGGATCTGTGTGTGCATGCCAGAGCACTCTGGAAGGCACACAGAGTCTTTACAGACTGCTAAGGATCAAACCTCTATCATTATGCAATCAAACTCTATGCATATATGGGTAAATATTTCTAAGCATAAATGACAAAATTTGGAGGATTATTATTTTTCTACTAGTCTTAAAATACATCTTGTAAATTTTCAGGGAAATATAGACCTTACATTTCTTGATTTCAGACTTTTGATGGAACCATGCTTTTCACTCACACACAATGTAACACATACAATGATTGTGATGGTTTTAACACTTGAACCAAAAACACACTTTCAGTACAGTGGACGTCTCGGTCTGGGGTCTTAACTTTGTGTTGAGGGAGTCATTTCCAATGTCAATGATGTGTCTCATGGCGTTCATTATTATAGCATCAATGTCAGGATTCAGTTCTCTTTCTGAGTGGTAGTTCTTCACCGGAAAAATAAAGTTAATAGGGATGCCCACACGTTTGCTGAACAGCTCAATCTAAATTAAAAAAACAAACAAGAAATATAAAAAATATGGGAATTATTTTGACAGTGTAATTGTAATGCATTCCTGTTTAAAGTTCTATTAAAATAATGTACCCTTTCCTGCAGAGATTTGCTCCTGTAGACATTTGTCACATCATGATTTATCTCAGGAAAAGCCTCGTCAATTTTGGTGAAAATTGCCACTTGTGGAATCTCTGACAAAATAAAATACATATATTGGGTGAATGGATTGTGATGTGAGATAAGTGTTTCCTAACACTTCTAGTTGTACATAAAAGATGGTGGTCTAATTCTATCTGTAGTGCTGTGCGATACCACTGATTTCCTTTCCGATCCGATTCCAAGTAATTATTAAGTAAATATTCAGGGTGGTATCGACGATACTGATCCGATACCGATACTTTGTACAAAAACTTATTTTATTTATTGTATCTCAAATTATAGCGTCATAATGATTACAGGACATCAGATTACTTGTTCTTATCACTTAATAATGCAGAGTTCATCATATAGAAATAAAAAAAACATGAAGTTGTGCACTATTTGAACACCTTGCTGACAAGTTTGACAAGGTTAGTGATGTTGCCACAACCATACATGCCAACCCTCCCGATTTTTCCGACAATCCCGAATTTCAGTGCCTCTCCCGAAAATCTCCCGGAGCCACCATTCTCCCGAATTTCTCCCGATTTTCCACCCGGACAACAAAATTGAAAAATCATATGCAGAATTCATAGCGCGGCCCAGCCAATTCCAACAATGACGGCAGCTACTTTTTTAATATTACTCTCATTTCTCTTTCTGGGTTGCAAATTTTTTTTAAACATATTTTCAGGTGAGAATGTAGCTGTGTGAACTTCAAATATCTGAGCCGACCGACACATTGTTTTCAAACCCCTGCGGTCTTTCGCTACTCGGGTTAAACATGATATATAAGTCACTTTGATAACTTAAAAATGTTATTGTTTGGCTTTTTCAGTGTTTTATTTGTTCGTGAGTAACAAATAAAACAAGTAAATCGGTTTGGCTGAGATTAAAGTTATTAGATTAGATTAAATTAAATTAAACTTTATTAATCCCTCGGGTGGGTTCACACAGCTGAATAAACGTCAAACAGAAAAATGATTAAACAGAAGAGTGAGGCGGTCGAGAATTTACGTTAGTGCCCGGTTATATTTTAGATAGCAAGGAGTAGACGGCAGAGTTTCACTCCGGGAGCTCGTGACGTACTGCCAGGCTTTCTTTAGACCGCGAAGGCCGGGTCCTCAGGTGGAAGCAGCCTCTGAATTTGGACACTCCCGCTGTTTCCGGGACGGCCAATAATAACGCCCTTTTGAATGTCTCCCTATTATGTCCACAACACCTCACTCTTGGAGCACTTTTTTGCCACATGTATCGCAAACCACGTCTCAGCTGTTTGTGGAGGTAAAATAAGTCCGCGCATGACTCCAATTACGCTCAGCCATTGTTGTGAGCGTGCACGCCAAGGGGCTGCTAGACTTTTATACAGCCGTATTTCGTACATAACTATGAAAGGCGGAAGAAGAAGTAGTTCCTTTGAATGTAGACAATCCGAATGTTATAGTTTCTTTCCACTGTGTTCCTGTTAATGATAAACTACAAATTTACTCTAAATTACTAAAATATCAATATTTTAATGTGAGAAGACTCATGAAAATTTGATAAATTCCAAATGACTGTGATTACGACAGTTACTGTGATTTGTGAACTGTGATTATAACTGTGAATAAAAAGATCAGGTACTTGGAGCTGCTGCGTGGCACATACGAGTCTGACTATTGGTGGAATAGTATTGACAGCTGAGATAATGTACAGGATATACAGGGGGAAACTGTGGGTGTTTTAGCAAAGGAACTGATGCGCTGTGGCTCCAATTGCTCAGTGTAGCTCTCTCTTAAACCGGCCTTACCGTCTTACAAACTCTGGTTTAGACTCTGATCCTACCTACATTCTTCAGGTGGGTTAGGTTTGTATACTGTTTGTATATTCTTTATGTCTTTGTGCTGTGTGCCATTTTGCTCTTGTGAAGATAGCTCTTATTTGTTCAATTCTTCATTTACTTTAATTTTCACTTATAAATGCTGTATAAGACAAAAATAATCCTCTATTTTGACGAGCTCACGCAAGATACTTAACTATAAAAAAATATTTCTAAACTCTCTATTAACACACTCACATACAATGAGCTCACAGCTTAGTCATTATATATGTAAATTTGTATCTAATTACTTTGTTAATCACATATTTTGACTTCAGAAATTATACCATGAATATTTTATGTATGAGCTTAGTATTTACAAATTATATACTAAGAAAGAGTAACGCTTTATAAGAAAGGAATTAAGGAAAGGAAGGAATTAAGGACTGACTAATAGCTTAACAATGTGAATAAGTGTTATTCTTTATTGATAGGTGTTTACACTGAAATGGCAAAAAACAATAACAAGTACTGATGGCTTACATTAGATTTTTTTAAGGCAGTTGGTTCCATTGTAAAAAGAAGAAGCAGTGATTTTTGCTCACCCAGCTCAGTGGCTTCATCTCTGACATCCTGTATTGCTTCCACAGTGGCATCGCTCATCAGGGATACAGTGTTGGCATCAACAACACAAACCAAAACGTGCACTTTGTCGTTCTCAGTTGGAGTTCTGTTGTAGTATCTATCGCCTTTTGACAGTTTATTTTCAGGGTGGAACTAAAAGATAAAGTGTAAACATAAAACAAATAATGTAAAATGATGAATTACCAAAAATAATATGAAAATCTTTTCTTTTAACTGAACGTCAGAATTTAAAAAATGCAGTAACTCTACCACGTAACCATCTTTTATGTGGCCCTTCAGCGCCTGTTTGACATCTTTCACATGAATCCTTCTGTTTCTTCTGGTGGTTGTGTCTTTCAACCCTACCATGTCATTTAGGACAAAAGGGTAAAAGGTATGTCCCTTTTTGATCCTGTAGGTTGTATACTGTGGATCACATATGGAGAATACATTTATTTATTTTAACATTCAAACACTCTCAGAAACAGGTCCCATAATGATAATAAATTCAGAAGAAATTTACAATCTATTGAGCTCTTGTTATTTTTATAACTTGTTGCCAACACAGCATCACCGCTGGGAATTCCATACCGAAACTTCAAGGCAAAGACTTTTTAAGTTATTATTTTGGCCTTTTGAAACCAGAGGTGGTGAGCAAGGGGCGAATCTGATAGAGAAACTAAAGTGCCACTACTACTAGAAAGCAGCATTGGAAGAAGAATACTAAGTTGCATCCCAAGAACACCATACCTACTGTGAAGCATGGGGGTGGAAACATCATGCTATGGGGCTGTTTTTCTGCCAAGGGGACAGGACGACTGATCTGTGTTAA